AGAGCGCTGCAGCCGAAAAACATGCATTTTGTCAAAGACACGTTAACAAGCAGAAAAAGCAAGAGGCCAGCAGGTGAAGAACATTGTGTCGATTGCTTGATCCCTTCCCACTGTTGGCAGTAGTTTCGTTGCGTGCAGCGTACCCTGGTTGCTGCACGTGTTTGGGTGCTTAAGAAATGCTGTCAAAAACGAAAAGAAGTGAGTCCCTGCACAGACGGGCTAGGGCCCCACACAGACAGAATCCGCTCTCTGTTCGCATCTTTACTGCACAAGCCGCAAACGGCACGGTGGTGCTTGAGAAACACCTGAGGAACTTATGCTGCTACATTGCTTGTCTGGGTTGGCATCTGTTCTGATCGAGTTTCGCCGGGTGGTAGGTATCGAACATTGGCTGATGGTTTACTGCGGCTCAAACAGTCGCAGGCAGCAGGGTCTGCACCTGCTCCCCCACGCCCCTCGGAGATTGGCCACCCGTCACAGTTTGGAAGATGTGGGAAGGTACGTTCGAATTCACCTTCGTCACTCCCACAGCTCTGAGTTACACAATAACACCACAGCTTCCTGGATTCCTGGAATGCAACGAAACCTCGTGGGACACGCTTCGCCGCTTCGACCTGTAAGTCTGCCTGGCTTCGCTCAAGTGGTACAGAAGAAAAACGGTCCACCCGCTTCTGTCAGGAGCTTGATGCTGTCGTCCTACATCTCGTCCATGTCCTTCCTGTTTCAAGCTTCTCCAGAAAGACACGCCTGTAAGAATCCTAGGTGTCCGGTGAGCGGAGGCGCTTCGGGCGTCCCACTGCTGCCTGTTGCTGCGCCAACAACACCCCCATCGGGCTGATGACGCACTCGAGCTGATTGGTCGCAGACAGAAGCTTGGAGTGATCGCATTTTCGCATTCCAGACGAATGGCCTTTCACATACTAGTAAGGCCCCGCTAGCACCAATTCATCTCTGGCAAGGATACGTACTTGCGGCAAGCTGAACTGAATCGTAGGCTTGGGGAGATAAGAGCGTTGTCAGAAAGTTTAAAATGCCATCTCTGCTCCAAACGTTTTCTGGGATTGCTGGCAACATATTCCGATCATATTGCGACTCGTGCATTACTTGGTAAACGACGTTGGGTAGACCTGCAGACAAATCGCTTGCGGGAGATTCCTGTATGTAAGAAAACATACTTGATTCGCATGCTGAGTCCCTAAAGACTCAATACGTAACCGAATGGCACAGAAGGAAGATAACAGAACGGAACAGAGTAAGAATACAATGCTCTACCATCTGCAGGAAGGGAGTCCGCCAAAAGAAAGGAACAGCACAGGGCATGCAACTTCTCGATCTTGCTTTTGGCGGCGAGCCGGGTTCCCCGAAAAACAGGGAATGTCGAATTGTACTCTAGTGCTGCGGTCAGCCGCAGCAAAGTCAAAAAGTCAGCACTCACAAGGCTTGGCTAGTCTGTTTGTGCAGATAGCTCCAAACTTTGGTCTTAAAATGTCGTGGGACCAGCTCTACTCTGCACCTCGGGGGGGGGGGGGGGAAGGTTGCCCCAATATGCTAGGTACAACTTTCTTCCACATGCAACTTGTCCCACCTAGCAGCTCATGTCCACTTCGAGGGACGACTGCGTCCTTGCGTCCTAGGATCGCTCGCTGTGGAGAGCTATACAGGCCGGGTCCACCGGTTTAGTGAAGAGCCCTTCAACAGTCTCCGTTCTTCGAAGGTTGACCCGGCATCATGCTCCACATGAAGCGTCGAAGGAGCGCAGGAGGCTCTGGCGACGGACCTCAGCTGAGTGTCAGAGCGCAGCCAAACCACCCGGTCCAAAGCAACTTGTTTCAAGATGGCGCTGCGTGCGGTGCTCCGCAGGGCTGAGCTCCCGGCCATGAGCCTAAAATCTCCGCGCTGCCAGCCGCGGCCCCGAAGTGACGAAGCTCCGACGAAGCTCCGATGGAGAGTTCCCGCGGGCTCTGTTTGTTCTTGCTTTCCTCGACGTGAGAGCTTGGGCTCTGACATACCTACGGGGCTGGCGTCAAGCATCAGCCGCGGCCGGTCAGTGGGATCCCACAGGGAAGGAATGCCAACGAGCCTGAGAGCTGGAAGTTAGCGTGGTCTGGATTCTGTTCCTTTCCTGCAGCGTGGCCGACGTGGCCGGTCCACTTGTGTGGACGCTGGACATAATGATGTGATGTGGCATCCACGGGCAAACGGATGCAGCATCATCCAGTACAACTCACTCGAATTTCGGCTGAAGACCTTATCCTAACAAATCCTCGTCGTTGTTAGACATGGCCGCCTGGATGAATGAACGCGACGGGGCCTACTTGGACCGACATGTTCAAAAAGTCACGAATGTCAGTCGGGAGCTCTCAACCCCTGCTTTTGGCAGGAAGTGTTGGTAACTGATAATTGTGCTGCTGTTAGACTCGGCAATATCCCACATCTCGTTGTCGTTGACAAGTATGGTGTCACATACAGCGACTGCCCAGGTTGGCTGAGAAATCTTTTGCAAGTCGGACAAAAACGCTGATGGCTACCAGCGATCTCCAAGTTTGTGTTACAACAGTCCGGTGGAGTATCTCAGTCAGGGTGGTAGGAACAAACGAAAAACTTGGAGCATGATCCCGTTTCGGCAGCCCGACACATAGATACACTCTTCATGTGCAAAATCGATAATGAGTGCCGCTCCAGCAAAGCCGTCAGATGTGCTTATCCTGTGCACACTAGCCTGGTGTTAACACTTCCGCTGGAGCGAACGAAGCGGCCGCAGCTTCGTGTCAGAAGCTTGTTACGCTGTGACCCTCGGGCTGCTCAGGGCAGCATGCAGAGGGCCGTTCGGCTTGCGGCCTCTCAGACGCCGCCACAGATGAAAGTCCCGTGGCCGTGCCTTGCAGATGCCGGGTGTAACATTGAGGCTGTGCTGTCTGGGAAGCTTCACTGGCAGCTCCACAGTGACCAACTCCCTCGTGACATAGATCCCGGAGCATGGCGAAGCTGCACTGGTTGCAATTCAGGTGCAGAGGCACGTGATGACCTTTAGGAAAATGGATGCGAGCCTGCAAGACAGCACGTCCATGTGATTCTTTAAGTTAAGACTTGCCCAAGCAATCAGCAGTTTATTGTAGATGTACGTGCTGACCAGATGCAAGTGAGGACGCAACACCGTCTCTGGCCAAACGCAAACCGAACGGAGCAAGTGTGAGATCAATGAAAGTGCCTGCTCCTGCATGGTCTTCGAGTCCAGGACGACGCAGAAGGTATCACCGGTGGGCCTTCAGCTTCTGCACATGTGGAAACTGCATGGTTTGCCTGATGCCGAGCTTGCCCAGTGTTTTTTCGCAGGTCAGTGCAACACTGATATCTGACACTCCTCGTTCTCTGAGGCAATAGCTGGTCCCGAACGAAGCTGAGAATTGCACCTGTCCGATAAGCCCGCTTGAGTGCTTGCTTCTTTTCTGCATGCCGTCTTCAAAACGAAGGCAATGAGAAAGCTTCATCGACGAACGACATGTAAATGGAGCTGCAACCTGCATCCTCCTCGTTGCTGTATGGCTCCGGCCTCGGTGCGGAGCCAAAGCTTTGTTACAGCTCTACTTCTGTTGTTGATCTCCCGACGACGCCCTGCTCTGAGGCTGCAGCACAAACACTGGCTGCCAAGGCAGCTCACGGGACACGTCTTGACCTTCCCACCTCGGTGCATGGACTTTGGCTACAATGAGGTGGTACAAGGTGGCAGGCTGGGCTGTTCCACGGCCGAAACCGCATACGGCGAACCGCCAGGGCGAACCGCCGAGAACTTCTCGCCCGTCTTACCGGATAGGTGACTACACCGCACCGACAAACTGCCACTTGCAATCCTTGCACTTCATCAGACTTGTCACGGCGCTCCAAGTTTATGTTCAACATCAGGTGAATATCTCAAGCTTGCAAACTCAAACCCAGCTTCCTTCCTCTCAGTTCGACTTCTGGTCGCAAGCAACACATGCCATTTGTTCCATGATTCTCAGATACCAGTGATGTCTGGGATTTCTGGAAGGAGGGGAGGAGTGATTGCCTGACTGCCTAATAGGGTGCCGCATTGTCTCTCCTGCTCCTGCTATCTCCCGTTCATGACTGCATTGCCCACGTAGAATGCCTGCATTCTACCTTTCACTCTCCGCACTTGTGAGGATGAACCTTGAACGGGCACGGATGGCGGCTAGCAGCAAAGGCATCTCTCCAATCAATGAATCATTCTCCAACAAAACATCGCCACACCGAAGATTCGAAGACTTAATTACTGGTCTTTGGGGAATCAAGGTGGTGGACGGCAGCACAGGCCCTGGCTTCCAAACTTCCTGGCTGTCGTGGTCCTGCTTCGTCAGGCGAAGCCTGAGAAAGATCAAAGGAACGAAGCGCCGGTGCGGCATTCTGTGGCGCATGACGTGCTCCGAGTCATTAGGCAACAACGGCTCGGGCCATGTGCAGGATGACTTTCATCTCTCTCAGCATCCGACATGCCGTTGTCATCAATGACGCCCCAGCTGTACTTGTGCCGGATACCATCGACCTTCACAGCATAACACAGGCCACAGCTCCTTCACCAGCAATCCCGCCACAGTTACGCAGCAACCTTGGGGTTGATCTTCGGCTCGTCGAAGCAATTGTCCGGCCAGCCGGTGCAGGTGCACTCTCCTGTCCTCATAGCTTAGACAGGACTCAGAAAGAGAGATGGGCAGAGCGAGGACTGAGGTGAGCCTGATGTTCATGGCGAACCGTCGGACCTGACGTGCATGCCATACAAACTCCACATGTTCTGATGTCTGAGTCTGCCGGTTGCAGCTTTCCGGACGATGCAAAACAATCTGGGTCTGCGCTTCACAAACAATTCTGCCAGAGCGTTGCTCCCAGTACTACCGCTGCTACAGACCCTGTCGGGGCAGCCCAACACCCGGAGGCCTCTCCACCACCACCTCGCCAATCCTCGACATCACCAGATCTCGCCTGCGATAAGGGGCAGCGAACCCTGAAGTCAAGAAGCCCGGGGTGAAATGCATAAATCGTTTTCCCCTTGGCCTGTCGCAGAGGGAAGCCAACAGGCCTCAGCCGACAGCTGAGGAACTGCCAGCTTAAATTCCAAGAGAATGCTAAAACATGCATGAAGCTGAGATGGTCTTGTCTTGAGAGCGCAACGGCTCATTGTAGCAAACGACGTCGAGGTTGACGATCTCGTCCTCACATCGAACACTCATCGAACATTAGTACTGGTCTTACAGACGAAGCCGGGCTTACTCCCTCTGCAGATTCAACACGCGAAAGCTGGAAGACCACCTTCTGCGCTAGCCCGCCCCCTGCTAACCGGCCAGTGTCACTACCATCCTTTCACCAGTTTGGCTCTGCGATTACATGCGTACGACACGGCCTGAACTGTTGTCTGAGGTTTCGTGCGACTTGAACTGCCACATCTGGTCTTTACACGAAAGCAGTTGCCAGACGTGTCCTCGCCAGATGGTCCACCGGCTTCCTGTCGAGCAGCGGAGGGCCATTGAAACATGACTGAAGACAACATGGAGAAGTGGGGACCTATCAGCCTGTCAGCTGACTCATTTTGCCTCAAAAGAGTTAATGATGTGGAAGAAGAAAAACCTGCCACGACCGAGCAGTAGGCTGCCAGAACACACGCTCAGTGTCGGTGTATTGCAGCTGCGATGCTCTGTGTCTGTCTTGCAACTGCATGCGGATTCGCAAAATGTGACGTGCCGGGGGCACGGATCGGTCTCGAAGGTCTGGGTCTCTTCGCCGGTGATGCGGTTGATGATGCGGATAGTCGTCGGGCCTGCATCTCAGAAAAAAATCGAGCGGAAAAGCGAGGTCTACGCACCGAGCTTGAGGCGCTCTGGTTGCCAAGTGTTGTAGTCGTTGAGATTGCCTTCGTAGACACCTGAGGACATGCCAGGCTCAAAGGTCGGCAAAAGCCCAGGGGCTGTTTTCTCTAAGCGCAGCTAAGCTCTTCAGGCCTCCGGATGATTCAGTCTGAAAGATGCAATTTACCGCATCATCCGAGCAAAGGGCCATTCATCAACCATCTCGCCTCCGCATTGAGCATGCCGTCCTTTGGCGACAAGTGAGGACGGCTCTCTGCCGCTGCTTCCCATGTCATGGCATCTGTAAACATGCTGACAGCCAAGTGGCCACTCATTCACGTCTACACTTCATCTCAGAACAGGCGTTTATCGGTTAAGCTTCCAGCCCAGTTCAACGGGTATGGAATCTGGATCATGACGATGTACTTCTTCGTCAGGGCGATGGTGTGGACAGGGGACGGATACCTTAGTGCCGCCCCTTTGGTGAGAATCTCGGACTGCTCGGCGACGACTGCGGGCAACGAACCGATCCGCTCAGCTTTCCGCTCCGTGGAGATTCGACGAATCAGGCGGCGCTGAACCGGTGCCCCAGGAGTCTTCCTCAAGCTTCCACGGTCCATGGGGACTCTTAGCTGTCTTAGCTGTACTCTGATGTGTGTCGCTCTGGGCTCTTCCGTTTTGCTGAGTCCGGAAAAGTTTGAACAACGCCTTCACCGGGGGACTGACGAGGTATCCGGCATCACGGAGAAGACGACATACCTGCAGCCACGATCACATCGACGAGAACTCGGTCTTGCGGAATGCAACTTTCAACTGCATTGCCGAGATCAGCCAGAACTTCATTGTATCATACAGGTGCTTTGCTTGGAAGGGCACTCCGGCTTGAGGCCCATGTCCTGGAAACTACCGCGGCACTGACGGTACGACGAATAGCTGATGCTTCAGAACGTCTTCCGACAGTGCTTTTATCCAGGCCCGCAAGCAATCCCCCCCTCAGGTCCTCAGGGCTGATGCGGAGCTGGATCGCACATGTCACCCACTCACCTTGCACAGGAGAACATACGTGCAGTGCTTGAACGCCCGTTGTGCACGAACAGCACAAGCGCCAGAAAGCGCCTGTGTCCTTGTCGACATGAGGCCTTGAAGACTTGGTTTGAATCTCACAGCATGCGGAATGAATCACAGCCGGCACTCTGTCTGAGCTTGCAACTCTGCATGGAAGATCAGAGGGCCTCCCTCCACCAACTCATCATCAAAGGGCACCTTTCGGCATGCATGATGCAACTTGGGGTTCTGAACTCCTCAAAACCCGCACACCGACGGCCGCATGCAAACATGACCGTCCTGACACGGACGAGTTGAGAGACGGCGATACACATACGCAACCACTTAGACTTATACATACTTTGTGCATGCACGAAACGACATGGACCGAGGCTATACCATGCAACCGATATCCCGTTCTTGGGCCACTACTGTACAGCAGGAATCTAGAGCATTTCTGACTCCTACTAAGGTAAGTAAAGTCCGGTGTGCTCAAAGCTACAATGCATTCTGCTCCATACGAGAAGCCGTAGTGCCCAGCCTTGCCCAGCGTGTTCATATTGTCCAACTCGAATTCCAGGCAGGCCCTTTGACAGGAGCACAGAGCAAGCGCAACAAGCCTGTGCACTCGAGCTAACATTATCAGAACGTGCAGTAGGTATGAGGATGTATGAGATATGCGCATTAAGCCCCCAGCGATCCAACGGACATGGAAACACACCGCGAGCCGGCGATCTCAGAGAACAGGCCGGGGCTAGGGAACTTCGGTGGCAGCAGGAAAGCAGGCGTCAAGGAGCCTGGGAGATGTGGAGGTTGCCGTTCTCGTTGTTGGGAGGGCTAAAGAGGTACATGAAGCGCTCCCAGAAGTTCTTGAGAGATGGCCTGCAGACCCAGTCAGACAAATCCCTCCTTGCAGAGTGTCGGGCGACCTGGAGCAGGTCTCCCGGACGGCAATGCGGCCGGCCTGGGGAACAGGGCCCAGGGCGAAGATATTTAGGTCTTTGCCACGCTACTCAGCGCCCCTTAGCCTCGCGATGCATGCGATGGTTCCAGGTGTCCAACCACCTCACGACCAGAAAACGTCTCATGGGCTTGATCCGTTGTTACATGTTGAACTGTATGGAACCAAAGCAGTCAGCCTGTTTTTGTACTGGCAATCGCCGTCGCCGCCAATCTTCAGGCGGTACAGCATGGCCTGCGATCCGCTGGGAGGGTCGGACTCAAGATCGCAATGAAGCCCACGAGAGAATTTCAAAGAGCGCACGATTCAACCTGCCAGCTGCAACTGTTCCAACCGTTCACTGCACTCACGGATTTGCACAGGTAGTCCGCAACGGGTCACTTATGCCCGGCTGTGTCACTTCAGAGAACGGTAGGTCAATGCCTCAGCTTAATGCGGCCTGCCCATCAACCCAGTCCACGAACTCATCGTCTCCGAACTCGAATTTCGCTGGCCCTGCGTGCACCTGGGACGCTGGCAGGAAGTGGCGAGGGTGCAATCGTGCAATCTTGAATCTTGAGTCTTTGCGGCGCTGTAAGCGGCCCTTGCGCAGCTCGCGTCACGTTGGTTCCTGAGAGGCACTTTGGCCTGCCAACGTGAAGAGCGGACCACTCACTAGGGTGCCCGAAGGGCAACGACACAAGGACCTAAGCCAGCAGATTGCACCATGATCTGCTTTCTGCATCGAGACTTGGCTGACATCCTTTCAAGGCTTCCGGCATCTTCCGGCTACCAGGAGGAACCTCTGGAAGCGTTCCTGCGTGCGTGGGCTTCGCGAACCTGGGTACAGAGTTGCGAGGAATCACCTACCTTGCGAGCTTCAGGGAGTGCCGGCCTGCGCTTTCGTAAGCGCTTCGATGGCCGGGGCCGCCATCTCCTAAGTGATCACTTGATTGGATTGGGCTACCAGCAACATGCAAGCAGCTCTCTCAGATCCACTCCCACATGACATCTTCTGATCACAGAGCTCTCAGTCCCATGGACCAGTCTAGTTGAGACAAGTCTCCCGACCAAGCCGGCAGAAGTTTGCCCAAACCTATGCAAGAGTAGTTTGAAGGAGTGGCATTCAGGAACTTCAGGCACCCACAAGGCTAGACTGCTGTCCTGGCACGCTTGATCCTCAATGCTACGTCGCTACGTGCCTTCGGCGTGAAGAACTGGTTGACTGTGTGCGTGTTCGGGAAGGCCCCGCATGCGCCACCGTGTGCCCAGTCATGACAGCATTCGCAGCAAATGCCTGAAGGAGAATCTGTGACAAAAGCGCACAAACTGTGCCTTTGTGCTCCTGCCTCCGAGTTCCGCCCTCTTCTGGGTGGGCGTGCTATCCGAGCTGCCGGACGTCTGCGACGAAGTGTAGTCCTGTCAGAAATGTTTGAGACTAGCTGACCTCGAGTCTTCAGCAAGATTCTGCTTTGCCACCGCGACCCTGCACCGGAAAGGTATGAAGGACTGCAGGATTCGAAGCAGGATTTACGCAGGACGTCTGGGAGTGGCAGGCCACAAGTGTCTTTTAATTGAAGGTTGCGAATTATTTTCCCTGCAACTCCTGCCCAGCAGTCATAGGTGCGGAGAGCTCCAGATCTGCATGGGGTGGACAAAGATGGACCTTGGTGCCGCGATGTGCCACGGGCAAAAACCGTGCCTTGTTGGCCTCCCTTGTCGGAACAGGGTGTTGTTACAGTTGTGCGTGAATACGCCGCACAGAACCCAGTTCCAAGCACCTCTGCAGAAGTCTTGCGTTGCACGAATCCAGAAGAGAAGTTCTGAGCCACATGAGTCACACTGAGCCAAAGCATCATAAACTGACTTTGGAGCCGGCGCTCGCAAACAGCGCATTTTGTACGATGAGTCAAAACGACTCTCCAGGAGAATCGATCAAAAGCCGTTTGACAAGACTTTTCTGCCAGATGGCCATCTGGCGCGCTGCAGAAAGCACCGTCCTCTGCGAGGTCACCTCCTGCAAGTGTTAGCAGCAATGTAGCGAATACACCGACAAACTGGACAGAGAATCACGTGCGTTTGGAGATTGTACAAGACATCCCAATTTATTGTCTAACTTGCAGAGGTCAGCAACAATCCCGTCTCCTCAGCCTGCACCAGGGGCTGGACTGCGACCCCGGTTGGGGGGTCCAGAAGGCGCATTCGGACGTGGAAGATCTCGCCGATCTCCTGGAACTTCACCCGCGCTCAGAAAGGTGAATTCACCGACCTTTTATCAACCTCCCGTACAAGTTATAGTATCCTTAAAGTCTCAAATGCCCTCTGCAGCTACCAAATTGCCATTGCAGTCAGAGATTCTCGTTTCTCGCCCATCGCACCCGTGTAAAGGACACCTCACTCCAAGTGGTATTGTCAGGAGCGCAGGACGGGCGATGTCTGACTCAGCACGAACAAGTTTCAGCCAACTGGCCGAGATGAAGGAAATGTTCGCGGCCTTTGGCAAACTCGTCGATCACCTCTTCCAAGTCCCTCCTTGGATCCTGCGATGCTGCGAGATCGACCTCTAAAAACTTGGCCGAAGCTCTACAGATCCCCAGCACGCATGACTTACCGAGCGGTCTCCTCAGCCAGGTAGAAGCTGCAGATTCGCTCCTCAGTTGAACTGCAAAGTTAATGCCCTACCTCCTCCCTCGTACCAACAGCACCCCTTCGAAGACCCAGCCGATGGGCCAAAGCGAACTGCCGAAGGAATGCGGCTTCAGCGAATTCCACACAAGCTCGGATTCACGCAGACAAGCAGCCTTTCGTGCCAGAGCTATCGCTGCGCGAAGATCGATCAGCTCCTAACTGTCATGGCACGCCGCAGGAAAATGAACAGCCTATCGCTGCGTGCGAGTAAGGCTCGCAAGCCGGGTCATCGCCCACGTCAAACGACAAGATCCAGCGGCGCCGGCGCCTCAGGAGTTGAACGAGTCCTCCCAAAGCGAAAACTTGAAGATGCTTGAATCCGTGATTGTCGCAGCCCCAGCCCGCCGGTCCTAGATCTTCGACTGGGCCGCCATCCTCGGCCAGGATGTTGGCCGAATCGTTGCAACGTGACACGACGCAACACACGAGCTTCTTTGCAAAGATTGCGGAAGACCGGACCTTCGCGTGGATGGGGACAAGTCGTGTCCTCTTAGCCAAGACACCGTGAGATAGAGGTACATGGGCGGATTCTCCATGCACTCGTGATGCATGAGGAACCTCGGTGCCGTGAGGACCACCGAAGCTGCGATTTCACGCTGCAGAGTGGATTGAGGATATTGAGGTATATTGAGGTCCTGGCATGTGGATTTGACGGATTACCGGAGATGCAAGGAGCCACGCGAAGCATCGCACGTGGCCGAAGAAGCTGAGGCCGCCTATCAGCAAGCGGTGAAGTTCTTCCGTGCTCAAAGGCCTGCTGCTGTGCGAGGCACGTCTGAAGGTTGTAAAGAGTGGCATAAGCATCCGGTGGCACAGAAAAGCCCTTGCTGTCTCCGGCTTGAAAGTCCTGTCAGCCCTCAACCAACCCTTTCCCAACACCAACCTATGAAAACGCCGATGAAGGCGGATGCGAGGAATCTGAAGATCCAGAAAGGTGTGCACGCTTCCTTGGCAGGAATGCCCCAACAGTTGTCTTGCCGCAAAATCAATCTGGATAAACCTGCCAGCCAAGCATAGCCAAGCGACGACCTCATTCTGGCCAACGCGGTAGGATGAATTCAGGTTGAAGATCAAGCAGAACAAGTAGATACACGACAGCGTCAAGATCTCCGGAAGCCTGTCCACAAACCATCACAGGAAGGAATACAAAGCTGGCGTCAGGGTCCTAGCTGTGAAGCCCGCCTGTCGATCAGGCTGGCCAAGTGCGGCTGCTCTAAGAGCGATGGGTATCCTTGGGAGTCGGTGTTGCCTCCTCTAGTCCAACACCCAAGTTCGTGGCGACGAACAACTTCCCAAACTAATCCAAGCTTGCTCGGCGTTAGCGCGACGAAGCTCAAGCACCGGGGTGCCCCGTCGAGGCCAAATTCGACAACTGTTGCCGGGCGGCGCTTTGATAAACTGTGCCAGTTTTGGCCCATGTCAAACCGGAGCCAGTCACCTTGGGTGAGGTTGAGCATCGCCATCCTGAGTCGGAAGTTGCACTTGCCGAGAAGCGCTTCGGGGTGCCATGGAAAAGCTGCGGACGAGCAGCAGGATTCGCGTGTGCCATTTGTTTATTTGTGTCAACCTCGAAGTCTTTGGCGGGAGCAGCTCGCATCTTGATCTCTTTCTGAGCCACCGGCACGAATCCATCCTCAGCTGATCCCAGCCGCTACCAGTACCAGTAGGATGACGAGACTGTGCTATCACCCTTGCACATGCTTGGCTCGTCGTCGCGTAGCAACACAGACAATCAAACAGACGAGTCTCAATGGCCGCGCAGCTCAAGGTCATGCACTTCGACAGAGTCATCCATTGCGGGCTTCGAAGGTACTTTGTCCTGGTCGGTCTTGGATGCACAACGCATCAGAGCTGCAAAGATCTTACAACACACCCGAAGAGCGCGGCACTCCTTTCGCATCCCATCGCATGCTGCGATAACGACTTGGATGACATGTACTGGGAAGGCAAAACACAAGATCATGCCACTGGAGTGTCGCTGAGTGATACTTCGAATTGCTCCAGAAGAACATACTCTGCAAGTGAATGGCAAAAAGGCAATGAGGCTCTTCATCTTGAGGTCGTTGGTACTCATTGAGTGTCGCACCTCGATGACAGCCCAAGACATGCGTTCAGCATGCGAAATAAAAGGCTTGGTGGTTTACCGCCTGCCATCGGGGTGACAGGCAAGTGTTCCACAAATTAATTGCATTTGTCCTCCAAGGCGCCAAACAACAGTATCGGAGACCATGGGCATTTGGCCACCTGTGGCAGAAGCAAAGGATGTTAGGGCAGTTGGGCTTAAATAAGGCTCGGCAAGTGACTGGCAGCCCTGGCAGTCTCTCATCGACAAGCGATGCCGTCGCACTCATCACACCCTTTCCCTCGAACACACAGACACACAGAGAAAGAGGCAGACAGAGACAGACTAGGCGGCCTTCTGGGTGGAAACATCTTTGCCACCACAATAGAAGGCACGCTGCAGAGACCTCTGCAAAAGAGTAGCCGCTTTACTGTACCGGCTGCGAAAATCGCCATCTCGCGTGATGAGGTGCGATGGTCTCACCGTGCCGGACTCAGCCCAGAACACACGAAAATAGATGTGGACGAAGCGGTGAAAGAAGTTGAAGCCGGGCAAGGCTACCTCATTGGAATCATTCGTCCTCCATACAAGCCAAGTCTCTATTCTGTGCCACGACCGGAAAGGGTGACAGGCAAGACACAATCGCCAAAGTCAGGAAAAGGCCCGTGAAGCAATTCCAGGCTTTGTCAGAATATTGCCCGAAGATTTCCGTCCCGAAGAGCGGCGTAAACAGAGGCTGCAAGCAGGTGGATTTGTACAAGACACTCAGCACATGAAAGTCAACCCAATTCGGCACAAAGCAGACCGCCTGGTGCGTTACAGGTCCGAAGATACGCCACTGGAGCAGAAATGTTGTTGGCCAGATAAACCAGAGAGGCAGCAGCACAACCAGGAAGACCTGAGAAAGTCACTCTAAGCTACAAGAAGAATGGATCGTCGGAGCTTTCGATCCGAGCGGCACGCAGGACACCACCCCAACCCAGCGCTTTGAAGCTCAAGGCCACGAGGCCGAAGAGCACCGTAATGAGGAAGAACAGCAAGATAAAAGGCACACGCCTTTCCTGCAAAGCTGCAAACATTCCTTCAAAGAATTGGATTGCACCTGCTCTGCTTTTGACGAGCTTTCACAAGGCTTTAGCAAGAATGTCAGTTCATGGATGGCAGTCGGTGCACGCATGGCTCATGTGTGACCGGGGCCTCACCGAAATTTGGATCACCTGTCCCACATGCAGAATTGCAAGCTGCATCAAGAGGCTCGGCCTGACTCGTTGGCTACTGGCCCGCTACACATGGCTAGATGCAATGAAGCCGGCCTTCAACTGCGCTGGAGTTGAAATAGAAAGGTAACACTTCCTGCAACTGCAGTGCAGGTGAATGCAATCAGTTTCGTCGGTACTCCCCACTGACTGCGGATTAACGACACTTCGATGACACTGCGAAACCAGCTTTGCGGCTGCCCAAAGCCACGGAAACATGCTACCAGCACCCTGAAACTCCTCGATGCGCTCTATCGTGTCGAGTCTGAAATCATGGAGATCTCAGCTGCGCAGAGACATCTGGAAGGGGGTTACCTTCACTACAGTCTCTACTAGCAAAAAGCCGAAGTCTGACGAGAGGCGCTGCTGCCCTGGCCAGTGTGCAGCTTTCGGCCACACGCCAGAACACAGGCCATCTGCACAGGAAAACAGACATGGAAGCGATCCCGATCACGAGACGGATGACAACGGTCCAGAAAAGCACGCGCTTGAGTTCAAGAATAGTGCTGGCCGTGCTGGAGTCACTGCAGTAACACGGACTGAAATCATTCGCAGTGTTTGGAAGGACATCTGCTTCAAGTGGACCGCTTGGCGCTGTGCTTCAAGGATGCCAAGGTCTTGCAAACGATGTTGGCAAGCCAGACAACTGAAGCAAAATCTACCGACAAGCGGCACACGTTTGACAAGCTTCTGTCGTAAGTCCACGTCCAGCAGTTTCTCTCTCGAAGTTCCCTTAAACAGCTTTCTCTCATGCCACAAGACAGAACTGCAAAGGCCGCAGAACGCCGGTGTCCATGGCCTCCTTGTGTTCTGTTGACTTGCCTCCAGTAATCCAGGCAAACATTTGCGCCGTCCGAGGCCCGTAGCCTCACGAAGCGTCCCACGGCAACTGCACGGCTACGCCAAAGACAGAACGAACAGTGTAGGAAGCTTTCACACTCATTAACTCCCATGCGACTCCCATCACCGATGCTGGCATGGCGAGGGGCTCGCCATAGTCCCACCACTCCTCGAAGAATCTGGGGCATCACTACCGGTGACTGGCCGACCGCCAGAATCTGTAGAAAAAGCCGTCTTGTGGCGGAGTTGGCGGCCAAGTGTCAGCTGTGTAGACCAACAAGACGGTGGCCAGAATCAGCAACAGCATGACCTTGCGGATTGACCCTGAGGTAGGCTTCTGCAACTTTGCATAAACAAGGATGTGTGAAGTAGCGTTGATAGAAACTTAGAAGTTGCTCAGCATCCTGAGATGTCAATCAACTGAGCCAATGACCAGCCATCGACTGCTGAGGTTGACGCACGATCGCCAGTAAAGGTATCTCCTGTTGATTTCGGAAGTCTCGGAACGCTACGGCAGAGTGCAAGACAAATGCCACGATAGTCTGATCACATTTCATGTGGTTTACCTGCAACTGTTCTTGTTCTTGAGGCCTTGCAAAGCCCTTGCCTTGTCGGCCGCCGCCCCTCTAAATGGGTGCACTTGTAGACGAATGCCTGGAGTCCAGGAACATGTAATGGCACTCACAATTTTACCCGTGGTCTCTCATTGTCTCTCATCTCAAAGAGCAGACTTAGAATTTATTAGGCCTAGGAGACTCCTCCCAGTCTCCCGCTTGTAGCGCGAGCAAGCTGCGAGCACCACCAGTGCCAGGACGAAGCAGCCGATCACATAGCCACTCACGGCCCTCCAGTGACAAATCCAAGGTTGAAACCAAGGCCGTGGGCAAATTTGCTTCAGCACCCGACCCGGAGAGCTGGATCAGGTCCGCTACCGAACACTTTCTTTTGGTGCTCGGCGGGATGCAGAAGCAGTGTCCTCGATGTCAGACCCGACACCCAAACCACACATCCATGCATTGGGAACAGTTGCACTTTCTGAGCCCGCAACGCAGCGTTCCACCCCAGTACGCCTGGAACTACGGCCAAGAGCTGTCTGCACTTTCAAGCGTTGCGGCCCCAGCCTCTATGAGCAAAGAGACGGGCACTACATAAAAGACCTGTGCTCCAGCAGAATGGAGGCTTGAGAAGAGCCCACCGCAACAGTCACGAGTTCTTCTAGATGTAGTGTTGAAAAGCAAGCACGGCAACTAGGACTGCGCTGATTGCTTCATTCTCGCGATGAAAAACTCGAGCTGGTCGCCCGTCGGCATCGAGCTTGTTGCCACTCACTACTTGAAATGCCATGCCGTATGCCCGTTTATCCCGTTTTGACCGTGCACAACCCCCCTCCCCCCCTCCGCGCCCCGCGCCACCTGTACGCCCGGAGCGCAAGGATATCAGAACGAAGGGTTGTCGGAGGGGCACCAACACCTGGTGCCTGATGTCGTGTGACACGGACGACGTACACCCCACCGGTTTCACAATTAGAGTATAATTAAAGCAGTCTTTCTGCGGCCAGAGCAGCACAAAAGATCACTGGAGCAGCGACGAGAACTCCCAGCACGACCAGGGCCATGAGTGGTAGGTCCAGGATTCTGGGAACTGAAGACGAGTCATCTTCCGGTGCCTAGTGCAGGATGCAGGAGACATCCTTCACTGCCCCAGTTTACTGCACACGCTTGGGCGCGCACCTTCCAAAGATTGTTGAAAGATACCAGGTAGCCTGCATTTCGCTGGCTGCGCTCGATGAACTCCGCGACAACCTCCTGGTTTTGCATCTTGCGAGGTATGCAGGACAATGGAGACTTCCTCAAGTCTTAGTCTTTGACCTTCGGCCGAGTTGCTCTGTACCAGGTATCAGTTGCCGCGGCATCCTTGCCATCCTCGGGCTGCCGGCCCACCAGGAAAGAGGCGAAGCCGGAAGCCGCGATGGAGCCTCCAGGCAGACGGGCTATGGTCGGCGTCTGGCGCTGGGGCTCCGTTACCGACTGCAGCGTCTTGGACATGCAGTTGGATGATCACAAGACACGTGTCCTGCCTCCCGACACAGAGGACAGGTGCGTTACGTGCCGTAGACGGCCTACCTGAAAAGGGCGATTGCTTCGCGAACTTGCCTACACGGAACAACATACACAAACCAAGTGGCAAGATACAACAGAACATGAACCTACTGCATTGCGAAAAGCCTCGGCGAGCGCCCACAGCGCCCCGGTGCAGAAGGCCCCTGACGAAGGAGACTTCGCCGATTTCGCGACATACATGTGGAGAGAGCTACAAACCCAAGTCTAAGTCGGTGACCTGAGCGTACGCCACCACCACCGAAGGCCACGGCAAAGTCCTGGCACTGCGAGTAGAACTGAAGCGAGAAATGCACATGGCCAATCGTGGCCATGTGCAGCGAGCTGGTACGAGTATCTTGCCAGGTCTCCTCAAGGCCGCGTTCCCGCTCCGAAGACAGAATCTGCCCTGCACCTGCATGGGCTCTTGGGAAGCCGAACATGTCGCAGAAAGTCTGTCAATCACCTGGAACTCCACGCTCTCGCCGTGGCCGTAGCACTTCCTGCCGGGTGCGGCTTCGAGATGTTTCGGCTCCTCACTCTCAGAAATGCACAAGCCTCCTCCTGTTCCAGAACATCCGTCTCTTCCAGGCAACGGCCCTGGATCCCTGGTGAAGAGTCTTCCAAGTCCTCCGAAGGGAATTGGCTCCAGAATGCTCCAGTCTTCCGTGAGCACAAATAGCCGAGTGCGCTCCTCTTCATCTGTCGTTTCGCTCAGCATGTTGACGCCGGAGCGTGAGGCTGGAAGACGCAAGGGCTGCAGATTCGCTGGTCGGCTAGGCATGTACCATTTTTAACAATTTTTTGCAATTCTCTAGTAACTCTATAGGCCTATAGGCTGACGCAGCGTAGGCAATGAATTAGAGCGCTGTGTGCTTACTTGCAGGCCTGGCTCAAATGCTGCGGCATATTTCCTAGGATCAACCTGACAGGCAATCTGCTCCAGTCCAGCACAGAAAGGCATTCGCCATGCTTATCGATTCAGGCTTCGAGCAAGCTGCTAATATTTGCTAACTTCCAACAAAGGATCTCCACCCAGCACTTGTACCACAAGGGGCCGTGGCCAAGTGACCGCGGAGCCACGCGGGGATATGGCCCTCGACACGCAGACCATCCACCTGGCACGACTTTGCATATGTGTTCGATCTCTTTCCTTTCGCGTGTATCGGCGGACGGGATGGGCTGCAACGACCCCCGTCTAAACTTCTGTAGCAATTCATGAAGGGAATTTCCCCACCTCCAGCTCCTCCTCAGCAGACTGCAGCCAGTTCTTGAAGTCGATGCCCACCTGATACCTGCGCACGCTCTACTTGCCTGTACTTCGTCCTACGCCGGAGGCGCAACGGAGCCAGAGCCTTCACTTCCAGGAACTTCTCAGGTCTCCCATTATTTCAGCCAAGGCACGTGCCCTGTGGGCCTGCGGAAGGATCGATACTTGTCACCTGGGCGGTGACCGTCGGTGACCGTCTCGGCCGAACCGGCCCCCTGTGGCAACCCAAGCCCGGCACCAGCTTCTCAGTGACTGCGGACCTGACCGACATATTTCACACGGACTGCTTCCAATGAACCTCCCGTTGAAGCTGCCTGCTAGTCTTCGGCTGGCGGGCAGCCTCACTTCGCTCACCAACTGCTCGGCGGCCAAGCCTCCGCAACATGTACCGGCCACAGGGCAAGTGCACAAGGCTAGCAGGATTGCTAGCCACGAACTGGCGCTTCCGACGCCGCGGACGCGGCCTGCTTTGGCGCCGGTTGGCGGCCACCGCCGTCGCAGCAGCCGCAACACCCAAGGCCGGAGCCCAGTTCGCGGAATTGGAAGCCGCGCCTGCGTGGGGGCGGCAATGAGCCTTGAACCGAGCGGTGCCTTTTAAGTGTGCCTTTTCTCACTGACGTGCCAATCCAATGCCCCGTTTCTTTCAGAGGCTGATCACACACCTTCTCCCGCTCTCGCTCTATCTCTCTCCGGAGCCACATCTTCATAACGCTGTCAAAGTGCATAAATTCCAACAGTGGGACTATGAAGTTGCGACTCCAAGAGAGGCGTTTGTACACGCGCGTGTTGTTTTGACCTAGGCATATGGGGTTGAAGAGAAACTGTAAGGTGACAAAATGGTGCTCTTGTCTGTAAGCTTGAGATGCATGGCCTCTAAACAACACGCATTCTTACAGGACCTGGGTCGAAAGGCAATCTGCGAACTTTGCCAGAGCCCGAAGAATTAGTTGCATTCTCATTGCACCGCCCTGGAATAGGTGCCGTGCATCTGTGGAGGATCCGACCCCTCTGGTGACAACGTTGCTTGAGGTTTGTAGTTTTCTGAAGCCGCTCGGATGGCAGCTTGCGCACTCCAATCGCCCAGCGCCTCGAAGTCAGACGCAAAAGCTCACAACGAAGAGTTCTCTCTGATGCCGCACGAAACATAGCAAGGCGACAGAAGAGAACAAAACGAGATATGAAAAGAGACGACGAATGAAGAGGGAGAATTGTCTTGACATGCACGAACCTGATTGCATTTACCACTTCAAACACTGAAATCCAAGAGCGGTCTTAAGGTGAACTGCAACTGTTCCGACAAGCGGGACAATGGCAAACCTTCTCAGTAGCATGTGCTGCCCTCGTGTTGGAGAAAGACACATGAGAGGCTTTGTACAGACATCGATTTGGAACTGAGGGCTCAGCCCAGATCAGCAGCCCACCGACCATGCAGCCAGAACCGACAATTTGCGCCGTCCTCTCCAGCTGGCGCAGGCCCTGACAGAAGCTTACAAGTAATTTGGGACATCAAAGGAGGCAAGGCCGGCAGGCCTCCTGTGGTGAAGACTTGTTGTCCTGTGTAAACGGACGATCAGGTCAGCCCGCATCCAAGCCCGTGTGTTTGTGTAACTCTGCTGTACATGCGACAAACCTGAGCAAAGGCATTTGTGGATTTTTGTTCCAGGCCCAGACCTTCTTGAGCGTGGAATTCTCTGATTGCGTGTCTCTTCTTCTTTCCAATCATGTATCTACACAGGAGCATTTGGGCATGTTTTCTCCAGGCCCAGACCTTCTTGAGCCTCGAGTCCTATGACTGCGCATTTCGTCTTTCCAGTCACATATATTTACACCGTTGTGTACGGTCGGAGAGCGAGGGGGCCCAGGGGCAAACTGGATGGCCTGGGCCAACGAGACCCATCCAATTTTTGCCGTGAAAACGGACCTGCAATCTGCAACTGTTTTGCCAGTTGTGCTATTTAACATGAGTGCATATGCAGGCGTGTGCACCCCTAATTAACGACCTGATGGTCGTCGTCCACATCAAGCTTGGGTCTCGCAGCACCAGCCAGTCATGTATCTACATGGTTGTGCACGGTCGGAGCTCCCTCACGAGGGCCCACCGTTTTCGGCGAAATATGCCGGCGCATGGGCACTCTTGTGTTACGGGGTCTGGAAATCACTTAGGATTTGACAACATATTCAAGTGGAAATCAGGTGGAAATCAACAATCATGCTCGAAAATCAGCTCTTTGGACACTGCTGGCACGCACGGCCTCAGAATGACTACTTCTGGTTTCGCCCTAAACCTCCTAGCTTCATTTTCATCAGCTCCTTTTCTCGTTCATTGTTTTCTTGCGTCCATCACTAGTTGTTTCACTTTCCCAGTCACTTCATCTGGCCTGTCTCGGGAGCATCTTCTTCTTCGCTGCCCTCCAATCATTTGACGACGACGACCACGACGACCATGACCGCCGCACTGCGTATTGGTCTACCTGAGTCCTTGATTTCGCTCTGGAGTAGCCTCATAGAGACTGTGAAGTCGTATTTGTGCAGTTTTTCTTCAGGCCCAGACCTTCTTGAGCCTGGAGTCCTCTGATTGCGCGTTTCTTCTTTAGGCCCAGACCTGCTTTGAACCACGCTCTGACGTGGCATGAAACTTCCGGTCACACCCTACACCTTTGAGCTTTAAAACCCCGAACTTCACTTTCATCAGGTTCTCTTTTCGCTCATTGTTTTCTTGCGTCCATCAGTAGTTGTTTCGCTTTCCCAGTCACGTCATCGGGCTTGTCTCTGGAGCGTCTCCTTTTCGCTGCCATTCAATCATTTGACGACGACGACGACTACGATTGCCTATTGGTCGAAGGCGCGAATCTTTGATATCGCTCTGGAACGACCTCAAAGGTCCCTAAACCCCTTTTTCACTTTCATCAGGTTCTCTTTTCGCTCATTGTTTTCTTAAGTCCATCTGTAGTTCCTTCACTTTCCCAGTCACCTCATCGGGCCTGTCGTCTCCTTTTCGCTGTCATTCAATCATTGGACGACGACGACGACGACCACGCATCCAGTGTTGCCGTGAAAACGTACCTGCAATCTGCAAATGTTTTGCCAGTTGTGCTACTTAACATGAGTGCATATGCAGGCGTGTGCACCCCTAATTAACGACCTGATGGTCGTCGTCCACATCAAGCTTGGGTCTCGCAGTACCAGCCAGTCATGTATCTACATGGTTGTGTGTGTGTGTCTGTCTGTCGGTATAGGTTGGCTACGGCGCCTGTAGGATGCAGAGTGTTTTGTGGGATTTGTGAAAAGAGTGTTTTGTTGGCAATCTTCTGAAACGTGTGGTAAAACGCGCGAATGATTTACACAGCTCATATAACGAGTGTGTGAATCTCCGAGACTGTGTGTACTTTTCTACGATTTTCGATATTTTCCCACAATTTAGACACATGTTTTGGAGCGGGTCAGGAAAAAGTTTGTGTTGGACGCACACGACTACAGGTTCTGCTAGTTGCGCTTGTTGCGGAGCGGAGTGTGTTGAGCCATGCAATATAAGAGGGTTCGATATCACGAATGTACTGTAAATACCGAGTAAAGCGGCTCTTGTAGAGATATTGCTCGGGGTGCCTGTGTAACAATGTCGTCATCATCCCCCCCAAGTCGCGTTTGTGGCGGAGCGGAGCCCACAAAGTTGCATTTGTGGCGGAGCGGAGTGTGTATCGAGCCAAGCACAAAGTTGCGTTTGTGGTGGATCGGAGTGTGTTGAGCCACAAAGTTGTGTTTGTGGCGGAGCGGAGTGTGTTGAGCCACAAAGTTGCGTTTGTGGCGGAGCGGAGTGTGTTGAGCCACAAACTTGCGCTTGTAGCGGAGCGGAGTGTGTTGAGCCATGCAATACAAGAGGGTCCGACATCACGAAAGCACTGTAAGTGCCGAGTAAAACGGCTCTTGTGGAGATATTGTTCGGGGTGTCTGTGTAACAATGTCGTCATCATCCCCCCCCCCATAACACGTACTCCAAACCCACTGGAAGCTTCAAAGCAGTCTCGGTGTCCTGGGGGAGCCGTCACCTATAAGTTTAACTCAATATATATATATATATACATATATATATATATTTATATCTATTTACTTATTTATGTTTATATTTCAATTTATGTATTTATATTTATATTTATATTTATATTTAAATTTTATTTATATTTATATTTATATTTATATTTATATTTATATTTATATTTATATTATTTATATTTATATTTATATTTATATTTATACATACATACATACATACATACATACATACATACATACACACATATCAAGCCGTGTTAGCACAAGCAGCCCTTTTCACATTCTTGTCCACTGGCGTGAGTCCTGCTCCGGGATCTTGTCAAGGTGCCTGGAGCCCAAGTCGATGGTCCGAGTGGACGTGTACTGATGTGCTGCGCTACTTCCAGACATCTGTTCCTCTCTTCATCATTGGTGCAGGCAGCTTGCTCTCGAGTTAAGTCCTTGAACTGCTGGACGATCCTGCAAAATTTTGGCAGCAAGAGGCACTATCACTAGCTCCGGTTGGTCTGCCCAGTCTGCTAAGTGCCTTACTGACTGCGGTTTACCTGAAGCTTGTTCTTTCGCGTTTTTGCGGTGCTCCAGGCAGAAAGCCACAACGAAATACCTCTTGCAGCGACCATGCACATTTTTGTCGCTTGAGCTTGTTCGTTAAGGAAAAGCATCTAAGCCACTCTGGAAGCCGGTCGAGGCTCCAGATTTTGACAGTCCTGAGCGACTGCTCCTTCGTCTCCTCCATCACCTCAGTGCAGGCACACCAAAGCAGGGCTGGCATTTTGAGACGTAGCATGCCTGCACAATGTCGACGGCAAGTTTTGCGTAAATCACCGGAAGGCCAAGAGACGGCAGGGACACCTCAAATTTTAAGGCTTGGACAGGCTCTGCTGTCACCTCCAGAGCATGCAGTGCCGACACGCCACACTGCCAAGATTCAACAGACTTTTCAAGCTGCACACTTCAAGGAAAGCCACGCTGCCTCTTCCTCTCGAATGCCGCGGTCAGACTGGAGGAGTGTGTCCAGCATCTTCAGGCAAGTTCTTCACTTGAGTACGTCTGTCCGTTATCCATCTCGTGCGTGCACCACGGTAGCCCATCGTAGGAATGAGAAAGTGTCGATTGCAATTTCTGCAGGCCATCACCCTCAGTACGTCACTCTGTTAGGGAGCAGCGAGCCCCAGCCTCTGGATCGTGGATTTCGCCTGCCTTCTTGTCTATGAACATGAAGGTGCCGCCCTTCTCTATGATATCCTTAGCGCAGCCACTGCCTACATGCCATGGTCATCGCAGCCGAGTACTATGTTCACTGTCAGTGACAGTAGAGATCCAAGCAGCCTTCAAAGAAGGTTCTGAGCCAGGCGGGGCCTGGCACATGCCGACAAAACAGACCTTGCTTTCACGACTTTACGAGATTCCTAGCAAGGGACACCACAACCCTGAATGCAATATCGGCGTTGTGCTCAAATTTTGAGAAAGGGATCTTGGTACTGCGCTTTGACTTTCGCAGGGTCAAAGCATTATGGCTGCTCTTCGCTATGAAGCTGCGCCCCAGCGTGGTGGACAGGTCTTCAGCATGATGATGTGGACGACAAACTGGCACCAAACAAGAAAACAAACAAGAACTGGACATGGAAGCCAATACGTGATGGGTACTGTATGATGCATACGCAGTTGTTTTGTCAAGAGCAGTCCTTTGAACTGTTGTCGTGGGCGAAGGGCATTGCACGTCACTTGTAACTTGGAGGCAGCCTCATCGGTCAGCTTCAATTTTCGTGTGACGCCGGCATCGCAGTTCACCGTGACTGTCTGGCAGACCGGTCAGCAGAAATGCGAGATAATCATCAGCAGCGACGACATGCCTGCTCCCTATCTTTGGCAGATGGTGCTGTTCTCGAATGCATTCAGAACCGGGCACCGCTGAAGCAAGACTTTGCAGTCCAGCGACGACGACACCACTGGCATCCTGCACACTGATGCAGAAAAAATTTGGAAACATGAGGATGGATTGGAGTGTCGCAGCCCTGCTACAAAGTCCTCCGTTCTCTCCATCTTCAGAACGTATCGCCTCCTCTGTGTCCAGTATATCCGCTGCATGTACCCATAGCCGAAGTGCACTTGGACCATGGCCGCCAGTAAACCTGCACTCGAAGCATGCTCGGCCATCAACAAGGACTTCTGGAATCCACTGCTCCCTGAGATGCACTGATACCCTCTCGCAACCCAAATCAACCCTTCGGATTGCAGGCACTTGCCTTCCTACCGACTGTTGATGACAAGAACGTGGATGCCTCAGAAACGGCCAAGCGCCCCGAAGACAAGCACGCCACGTTATCCACTGTACGAAGTCGTGCCCGAGCCTATCATGAAGAAATTGGGACTGGCGAATGGTGCCATTCCTCGATATTGTTTGCAGGACATAGGCAGCGAGTTAAGCTCCCCGGCCACCAAACTCCCTGTATTTCGGGCTTTGCAGGCCAGTGAGATGCAACCCGAAACACTCTCTGTCTTCATCTCCAGGCATAGGAGGCATCTTAAGCCCTGGCCTCTAGAGCTGTCGACGTTTTATGGGGCTTTGTGAAGGGACTGTGACACGTTGCACGAGTGTCTCTCTGTCTCTCTGTCTCTCTGTCTTGCTTGCTTGCTTGCTTGCTTGCTTGCTTGCTTGCTAGGGGTGTGGGCTTCAGGAAGCCCTGGCCCGAAGGCCTACCCCCATGGCGCGCGAATGTCTGTCGGTGCGGCCCCTTCCGGGTGAGTGTGATCCACGTTCCCCTGAATGTCTCTCTGTCTCTCTCTCTCCCTCTCTCTCTCTCTCTCTCTTTCGCTCTCGCGCCCTGAGGGCGTCCGCTTGTGCTTCCCCTACCGCCCCGATGTCGCTTTGCTTTGGCTTGCCCCTGATGTCGCTTTCTTTCATTTTTTTTGCGGGCCTGAGGGAACGATTTCCCCCGCCCCCACCCCATTTTAGAGGGGATTGAGCGGAAACAAAGGACGTCTAGGTGTACGGCCCCGACTAGGGGAGTAGGAGAACGTGGGGAGACAACACCACTCAAGTAAATCATGCTAAGACGGGTCCCAAATGTTACTCGCCCCTACTCTCTTTCTTCGCCCCTTCTCTCCCTCTTGCTTGCGGGTGTGGGGTCAGGAGACCCCCGGTCCGAAGGCCAACCCCCCAGGGCGCGCAACAGTGCGATCTCACGGCCCCTTTCGGGGAATGGCAGTGGTGTTCCGTCAAGTGGGCATAGTGTCCCCCTTCCCCAAGAACACCCCTCCTAAATCATGACCAATGTACACCCCCTGTATGCCTCACTTGGGTCATCCACGCTGCGCGGGACCATGTGTCTTCGGGCTGTCAGCTCGCAGGGGGCACTGTTGTGAAAACAAACACCGGAAACAACATTCCAGGAAGAGACAATAGGAATGTTCGTGCCCCCACGCAGCCACATTTCTACGAGGCACTCCAGCTCCATTCAAGTACGAAGTGCTCTTCTTCAGCACAGACAAGGGAAAGTGCAGGCACGCACTCCCCCCGCGCGCGGGCGCGCACTGGTTCGTTTGTTCGGTAAGCACTACTGACAAGATGAGGCCGGAGGTTGCGAACTGGAGACCCCCGACCCTGTACTGAACCTCAATTTGTATCCCCGGCCTCGTCCCATCTAAGGCTGCTGCATGCTCTGTTTGCGGTGTGGCAGCTTATTGCTGCGCTGACAGCTCGCTCTGCTCCGGCTTTCCCCCAAACCGGTCAAACAGGACTGCACTACACACAATGTCCCCCTCGGCCTGGAGCTGGTTTCGGCATGCTCGTCACAGCAAGGCAAAAGTCGCTACAAGCTGAGGCCCGGACCTGGAAACAGCAGACTACAACAGCAGGTTACAAGTACGAAGTGTTCTTTCGCCAGGGCTACGACCGAGGGTTGCCCGTCGATCGCGCGCGTCAGCGCCCCCGTATGTTACGGGGCCAATTGTGAAATCAGATGCGGTGCAACACAGAGGCAATCAGCGATCAACCAAAGCAAACAACAGTGCATGAGTCGATAGAGAGCGAAGCAAGTTGGGGATTGCCACATTGTTGCCATCCGGCTGGGGCTTTCCCCCGAGAGTCTGCGTGCTGTTGGTCCCCTCTTTGGTAAGCAAGACTACTGAAACACAGCAGATGCCACAGTAGCAAAATAGGTCCCGGCAGGGTCGAATCAAAGGGGTTGGACCAACTCCCCTCTACATGCTGCCACCGTCTGCCTCCAATACCTTGTACCTGGACCGAAACAAAACCCCCAGCCGAACCTACAGAAGACAACTCAACCTGAACAGAACGTACAAGCACGAAGTGTTCGTTCTCTCTCTCTCTCTCTCTCCTTCAGCACAGTCAAGGGAAGACACAAGGCCCCGCAGCGCGCGCACGCGCACTGGTGTCTCAGTCTGGACTCGAACTAAGGAAGAGATGAGGCCGGCCGTCAGTAACTCTTGTATCCCCCGCCCTAAAGTAACTCCTAGGCCTATTCTCTCTCTGTCTCTCTCGGGCATAGGGGTCGGTCAAGACCCCCAGGCGTCAAGCCCACCCGCAAAGGTTATGCAGACATCGGGGTGTGAAGAGCGTGCGTAACGCATCCGAAGGCTCATGCCATAAAGTGTACGATAGAAGGAAGTGGATGCATGTACACTCTCAAGGACATCTCCCTTGACCTCAAATGCTGCTCTGGTGGTAAAGAGGAAAACAATTCTTATAGAATCACTTAAGCCTCAGAGCAGCGTTGTCAAGGTCCCCGGCTTGCAGGGGTCCGAAGGTGAGGGTCGGCTGTGATGCATCAAACTTGTGAATTACATCAGGCCTGGTTTGCGCTCCATCATGAAGTCTTTACAATTCAGATTCCCCCGACCCGTACAATTCAGCACGATCTAGGGGGTTGGATTCAAAGAAGGATCTCAGGAGAAGCTTCGTCAAACAAAACTAGCAAGGCCACACAGTATCATAATAGCAACAGGCCTTCCCCCTGAGAGGCAAAGGAGGGACCAAAACTGATGTACTGGATCTCTCTCTCTTTCTTTCGGAAGGGTTATGGGCAGGAGAATAGCTCTCCTGCCCGCGCGCCGTCACTCTCTCTCTCTCTCTCTCTCTCTTTCCTTCTCTCTTGCTTGCTGGCTCGCTTGCTTGCAGGGGGCTTGGGGGCATGCTTCCCGCCCCCCGCTTCGTGTCTGTCTGCTTCCCCCATTGCGCTATCTCTCTCTACCTTTGCTTGCTTGCTTGCGAACGGCTGAGAGAGAGAGAGTGCCCGTAGGAACCCTCCCCCACGCACTGCGCGCAGCCGAGTCCTTGGTTCCTCGGGGTCGGCTATATTAGCTTCCCCCGCTCGTTGTGAAAGGACCGTTCAGCTTTGCCTTTGTTCTGCAAGCATATAGCCCCATAATCAAGTACCCAACATCGAAGTGCAACACAGAAGGTTCGGCAAGCTGAGAAGGGCAGAGGCACCCCAACTTTGGAGAGCATTATTGCACATTGGGTTCCCCCAGTATTTGAGGCATCCCCCTGAAGAGTAAATTAGGAAGGAAGGCAGTTCCCCGCATTCACCCGGGTACACCGAAAACGCTCAAAACCGAAGACAACATGCAGCTAATGAGTTAGGTCCCCCCCGGCTGAATGGAGCTCGCAAGGAAAGTTCTACCGGGCTTCGCTGCTCACTGAGGTTGCCTACTTAGCACTCAGGTGTCGGCGACGTCGAAGTGGTGGGCGTTCCCCTTCTCCCCCTTCGTGTCTCGATGTCTTTTCGGCGTCTTGTGCGGTGTTTCCTCCCCCGCATCGAGCAGTGCTGCCATCCGCTTCAGCTTTGCTCGTAGTGGCTCTTGGGGTGATGTCGCCAGGGGGCTCGAGGTCATACCTGAGGTCATAGAGCTCGATATGCGTTGAACTTTGGCCACCAGCGATCCACGGGCTGGTTCCCCTTCACGAGGCTGGGGGAGCTTCACAGTGAGTCCCCCGACTTTCAACGTTCTTTTGCGGTCCGCCTCCATCTTCCTCTTGATCGTTTGGCCGAGTTTCGCCCCGGCAGACCGTGCAGAGCCGGTAGCTGAAGTGGCTTGCGTGCTGGGCTCGATCTCGACTTCCACGAGGTCGTCTCCCTTGTAGCTTTGGTCTCCCCCGAGCTGTTTAAGGTCGTTCATCACCTGGCGAACCAGGTCATCCTGGTCCAGAGAGAGGTCAGTCCCGCTTTGCGTCGTATCCATGTCTCCACTGGCAGCTGTATGGCCTCCCCCATCGCTCGCCGGCTTGCCTTCCCCTTCACAAGGGGGCGAAGGTGGTGAACGCTGTGGAGTGGGGGGGGTGTCTGGCATCCGCGGAGCTCTGCTGTCGTGGTGTTCCTGAAGATAGCGGCCAGCGCGGCCTGTGAAGGCCATTGGTCCCGCATGTTCTCCTCGACTTAGTTGGCGGTGACTTCCCCTTCCGTGTCTTCTTCGGCGTCCAGCAGGAGGTCAGGGGTCACGGGTGCATGGTCCCGCTTGTGGTTGTCGAGGTCTTGCCATGGCTTGTCCCCATCTTCATTGTCCTCCAAGTAGGGTGGCGTGACCACCGTCTCATCCTCTCGACTGTCCCAGTCAACTTCTTCTTTCACGGTTGGCTGCTCGTCTCCCCCCATTGTCTTCTGCTCGGCCTTGACTTTGGCTCCCCCAGTAGGCTTGTGCTTGGTCTCGGCGGTGGTTCCCCCAGCGGCCGGGAAGAGGCCCCAAGAAGGCTGCCACCGTCTTTACGCTGATCCCCAGCCTGTCATGCCATCTGATTTTGCATGCTCGCCAGAGTTCACTCGCCTTCAGGGGGTCGTCGATGAGGGTGTCCAGCGTCGACTGCACGTGCGACTTCTCAGAAAAGGTTCCTATCGTCATCAGCATACTGTAGGCTTGGTTAAATAACGACTCAGCCAGCTGTTCCCTCTTGGAGGGGCTCAAGGTCTGCAGCCTGTCATCAGGCGCTGCATTCCCCCTGCTGCAGAGGCTTCACTCCCCCACGGTTTCTCATAGAGGTGGCGAAGAAGTTTCCTGACTGCACGTCGTTGGGGTCCTGTTCCCCGAATAGGGTTGGAGGAAGAGGGCGACGACGATTCAGAACTGGACTCCCCCTCGTCGGGCGGTCTCTGCATCTGTCTCCCTCTCCGTCCCCACATTGGCGGCCGGCTCCCCCTCATCTGTGGGCGCCAACGCTTCGGGCAGTCCTCCAGCTGAGCTTCCCCCTCGCTCTGCTTCAGCGGCTGCAGGTCTCCCTTCTTGTTGGAGCGCTGACGGAGGGCTCGGCCGCGTTGCTGTTTCCGTCAGCTCCCCCGACAATTGTCGAGGTTCCCCCTTCTGCTGTGGAGGCATGGCTTCGGAGGTTGTCTTATGGTGAGCAACACCAGCTGCGCGGGCGGCCACAGGCAAACTTCGACAGGTACTGCTTTCCGACATGCATGTCATGTTGCAAAGTGTGTCAAGCAAGGCAACAGGCTCTCTGTACTCTCAAACAGTTCTCTCTCCCATGGTAGTACATGAAGATCAAAAGGTCAATGGAGTGTTTGACGAGGTTCGAGGGGAGGAAAGAAAAGGGGTCCGACGTCTCAGTTGAAGCTGTCATCCGCGAGCATCCTTCCCATCCCCCTCCCGGCTGTTGGGGTTGTCGGTGTAAGGATGCCGAGTTTTGGTTGCCGTCCGGTCGCCCATGGAACATGGAACATCGTGCTGTTCGACGAAGGTGTGTGTGAGGCCCCTCCATTGTTCTCTGTCTTGTGCTGTCTGCATCCACTCCCCCCCGCCTGTTTTGCTGAGTGCTCTCTCCACGTCGAGGTTGCTGTTGAATCTGTGTCTGTGTTTGATCCCCTTGCTCCCCTTGCTTTGCTGCTCCCTCCACCATGACAGGTCTTTCCAGGTGACCATGGCGCGAACTTCTTCTCCGCCCCGGACCAAATGCCCCCAGAATGTCCAGATATGTTCGAGCGGCAGGCTACTCCACCTGCTTGTGCGTTGCTTGTGCAGCTGCACTCTAGCCTGTCTAAGGCTTCTTTTGTTCCAGTCCGCCCAGCACTCCCCCGGGATTTTTGCTGATGTGGAGCATTTGTCGGAGGTGGTCCATCTGCATGTGGTTGGCTTGCTTAAGGAGGGTGTCATGTACCGGCCATGTTTCCCCACCCCAAAGTGCCGCGTTGCGGACCAGCGCGTTGTACGCAGTCAACCTCCCCCTGATGTCAGTGCGGGCACATAGTATGTCTTTGTGTTGGCGAAAGGCTGCTCGACCCCGCCGTTGCATTTCGGCCACAAGGTTGGGGATGGCTTCCCCGAAGGTCAAGGGCGAGCCCAGCACCGTGATTGTGCTGCCGTAGGGGAGGCAAGCAACGGTGGCGCCCCCGATGACGAAGACACAGACGGGGGATGATTGCTGTCTTCTTCGGGTTTATAACCAAGCCATGCAATGCAAGCTGCGCTTCGGTGGCTTGCTTTCTGTCGTGCGACCACAGATAGGTGTCATCCATATATGCTCCCCCTTGTTCGGGGGGGGCGGGCCGCGGGCGTCCCCCAGCAGGTGGGCTGTTTTGGAGACTGCTGTTTCCGCTCGACCTGTGTGATGTGATCCCCCGTGGCTATGTGAAGGCTCCGTGCTTGGAGCAGGGATGTCCAGAGACGCGCTTCCCACGGCAAGCCTGTGGTGTTGATTGCTCGGCCGTCCCCCTGCATCCCCCCTACTTTGCGTGCAATGAGTTGCGCCATGCTGACTCGACTCACGGAATCAAACGCTTTTTGAATGTCAAGTTTTACAATCCAGGTACCCACCCCCCAATCCTTTGCCATCCGCACAACTCTTCTGAGTATTGCGAGCAGTTCCACTCCTTGTCTCCCGTTCGTGACCACTGCAACCTCCCCCCTTGTTGTAGCTGGGTGCCTGCTCTGCCGAGCAACAGCTGTGCGAGGAGTTTGAGCATTGTGGAGCTCAGAGTAATCGGCCTGCAAGCCCCCCACTGTGTCGGTTCCGAAATTTTTGGCAGGAGGACCGTTAGCCCTTTGCCACCTGAGGAGTGGATAGCCCCCTTGTAAAGCATGTCGTTGAGCTCGGACAGGATGATGTGCTCCCACTGTGGGTGTTGTAGCATGGCTTGTACTGCCTCGTGGGAGATACCATCTGGCCCGCAGCTTTTGTTTTCAGCCCACCGACTCACCGTCACGTTGACCTCCCCCGGCTGGAACGGCCTCCACGGTGTGTGTTTGCAGAGTTGCTCTAGCCCCTTGCGGATCTGTTGCATCCCCCCAATGACATCGGCTGAAGGGATTTTATTAAAAATCCCCCTGAAGTGTGTGCGGAGCTGTGTTTCCCAGTCATTGGGGTCAAGGAGGGGGAGTTGCCACCCCTGTTTTCGCTGCTTGTGCTGTTGTAAACTCCGGAAGGCTCCCCAACTGAGCTGCGATGCTTCTTCTGCTTTCTGCTTGAGCCATTGTTTTTCGCTCTGACTCTTTGGCCTTCTTGACCTGCTTCCATGCTTGCTTGGCATCTTCCCCCGGGGTGGCTTGCTGTGCATTGCGCCGGAGTTGCTTGAGCTGTGCGCTCTCGGAGTACTTGGTGGTTGTTCTCCCCGGTCTGGCGATGGCTTTGGCGGCTGTCGCTATGCTGTGGCGTAGGTCCTGTGCTTTGGGGGTTGGTTGGAGCAGGTGTTTCTCCACAACCTCTGGGCTTTTGAGTTTGCGGGGCCCCCATGTCACTGCATCCCCCTTCCTGACCCCCCCGGTGTGTAGTCGTAGCGTGAGTTTGACCCCGTCGTGGTCGGTGGATGCTCTGTGCTTGCAAGCCACAACCCCCCCTTGCTGTGTGGTGTTGAGTTTGGTGGCAATGTAATCGAGCCGTCGTGGTTTGAGCATGGTGTTGTAAGGAAAGTGGGTTGGAGTGGTGATGTCCTGCAAGGGTACGGTGATGTTGTTGTTGCAAAGCCACTGCAAAACGCACTCCCCTCTGCCTGTACTTGAACGGGTTGAGGTGGTGTGTGGTGAGTGTGGTTGTGTGAAGACTTCGTTCGCATCCATGCCGAGCACGAGCTTTGTTGGGCCCATGTGTTCCCCCCACTTGGTGAGGATGTGTTGGGTTTCAGGGATTGTGGCGTGGTGTGGGATGTGCCCGGAAAGGCACTGTAGCTTTGTGCCTCCTTTGATGGAAAGCGTAGTGCTCAGTCCCGCCAGGAATCCGTGTGAGTTCTTGTGCCCCCCCAGTTGCTTTTTGTGTGCAACCCCCACACCTCTCCATTCGGTTGCTTGTTTGCTTGCAACAATGCTCCAATGATCGCTCTCTCTGTGAAGGACCCCGGGTCGCAGGATGATTTCCTGTAGGAACACGACGGCCACATTTTCCAGCTGTCTGTCCCCCTGAAACCCCTCTAGGGTCTCCAGCGCATTTTCGGCTGTTAGCCCACCAACGTTCCAGGATAGTATATCGAATTCCAGGCTGCAAGTATTCCCCGCTTGTTTCACCGCTTCACGGTGGTTCGGGGTGTGAGACTGTCTGTTCTCATCTCATCTGAGCTCGGCTGCTAAGGGCTCCCATGCCCTTCTGACTTCCCCCTCGTTGCGGCCCAGTTGCCGTGCAATGGCTGGGATGTCCACCCATCCTGCCCCAGCCTCGTCTGCAGTAGAAGGCCGCGCTGTAGTAGACGAGCTTGTTTTCACGTTGTTGATCCACGTGCTCCCTGTGCCGAACTCAACTTCCAACCTGCCCTGTGCTCCCCCCTGGCTTAGCCACAACCGTTTGACCTTCCCCGCGAGTTTGGCTCGTCGCCTACGCTCGGGGCTTTGCGACAGTGCGATCCAGGCGAGTTGTGGTGCTCCTGTAGGCTTAGTCCCCACTTCTACTGCCGCTTGGCGAACTCTGCTGATGGCTGCTTGGACACGTTTGCGTTTGTTCCCCCGGTCTGTCCGGTACTGGGATCAGTGCGTAACCTCTGCGGATACCGGGGACGAAGATCTCCCCGATGTCCAGGTCCACAGAGAGATTTTGCAGCAGCTGTTTTGCTTCACGGAGGGTATCCGCGGCTGGGTTTTCAGGGTCCCATCCCCCCAGGATGAGTGCCGCCCTTCTCTCCCCCCCCGTATCTGTGGTGCTGGCCCCCGAAGGGTCGGTGTCGCTGCCAGTGCCTTTTTGCTCTAGTCGGCGGAGTCGCTCATCGAACTCGCGGTCAGCCTCTTGCATTTGTTGCAAGATGTTCTCCTGTTTGTAGTATTTGTTTGTCATGTCGTCAAGCAGGTTGATAGTCTGCTGTAGTTTTGCTGTCACTTGTCCTTCCACCTGGTCCATGCGTCCTGTCAGCGTTCGGATGTCACTCTGCATCCCCCCCACTGCTGCCACTAGTTCGCTTCTGAAAGTCTCTTGGATTGCACTCAGGGTCACAGCCGGCTCTCCCGCTCCTGCTGGTCTTTCCTCTGCTGCGTCCCCGCCATGTGGTCTACGTGCATCTCCTGCTGTGTGGCTTGGTTTCCACTGCTTGCTCCCCCTGTCGGCATTGTCTGCACCAAAGAGGTAGTCTGGGGTTGTAGTTGATGCTTCTCCCCGTCCCCCAGTGTAGAGCTGGTCCAGGATCGTTTACTGCAGGTTGTCCCGAAAGTTTGCCCTCGCGAGGTTGTGTTTAAACTCCCCCTGGTCCTTCACTGTAGATGCCCTCCTGCTGCACTCTTGACGAACTCCTCGTTCCGGACCTCCGGCAGGTTCTGCGCAAACTTGCCAATCCCCTCCTTCAGCAATCGCGGCGGAGACTAGGAAGGAGTTAGACAGGCGCCCGGGTTGAGGGACCGGTTTGGCAGAAAGAAGAGGAGAGAGCTCGGTCCCTTGAACCACTCACGGCTTGAGCCAAAATGGCCCTCTCTCTCTTTCTCTTTCTGCTTTGCTGGGGCCTTAGACCCTCTTTCTCGCTCTTTCTTTCTGTCGGGCTTAGCCACATCACACTGGGAGTTGATCTGCCATTACAAACAAATAGCTCACCTGATGAGGGTGTCCACAACTTGACCTCTAAGTCTCACAAAGATGGAAGATATCCGATTTGTTTGTTTCGTGATGTGACAGAGATCTAGAGAGGCTATGCAAAGCCTTCAGAGAAAATAAAATCACCCACGGTCTCTCTCTCTCTCTCTCGCTCTCTCCCTCTCTCTCTCCTTTCGCTCTCGAAAAGCCAAAGGCTCCCATGAATGCTGAGCCCATGCCGCCAGCCATCAGCATTGTGGCATGTCTGATGGCCTTCTTCGTGTCTTCGGCCGGTTTTTCTGGCTTCCTCGTTTGGCTTTCAGCACTGCCGGAGCATGTTCCAACGTCTCCGGTTGAAGTGCTCGAGGCAATTGCCACAATCGGTCTCTTCTCTTCCAAGCCGCTTCGCCGTGAAAAGGACCTTTTGCTGCATCGACACGTCCGACTCATTGCTGACGCTGAAAGGCCTGACCCAGCGCTCGGGCCCAGCCTTTCCCTGAAGGCGGCCTAACCTCATGTGCAAAGCACGGCCAGTGCGCCTCGACCAAAGGACACTACCTCAAGCAAGTTGACACAGCAAAGGATGCAAGTCGACATCAGATGCCCTCCTTTCGGCCGAAGCACTCAGCTTTTGCGTTTGCCGGCCGCAGAGGCACAGGGAAGCCCGAGCAGCCTGGATGACTTCTGTTTCACTTGAGGCGGACTTGACTGTCTCAGGGATGCGAGACTGGGGCCCAGAGATGAGCAGTGCAGCAAAGACACACTTTGCAGCCGCAGCATGGCACCACGTTGGGGGCAGCGAGCTTGGACCAGAAATAGCTGCATGAGCAGTCTGCGGCTGGTGTTGTTAGTCGGGTTGTACGGATACTAGTAACTTGATGCTTATCCGGACTTTGATAGGAAAACCCTGCGGCGGAGAACACCCAGTCGCTGACCAGCGGCATGCCTTCGCACATCCTGGCAGGAAGGAAAACAATTGGGGCCAATCACGGAAGCCGTCATCTACTTCTCTGTTTCCGTGCTCCCTCGCCGCTTGCATCCGCTTGCTCTCGTGTGCCTGGGAAAGTAAAGGGGCCGTGACAAAGGCCTCCTGCCACACAATACTATCAGATTCCCGCGCGCGAAGAGCTTCAGCCGCTTCAGTAAAGGCTGAGCAAACTGGGCCTGCGCCGGCCACGCGCCTGTGATCGCAGAGCTCCTCACACAAAGTTTTGGCAGGCCCAAGGATTGTGAGCAGAAACTTGAGAATTGGCACACCCAGCCAGTAACATGATGGAGCCCGTTGGTGCAACCCTACAGCACAAGCCCTTGCTTATCACACTGCTCCTGGCTGTCTCCATGATCCTCAGGGCTAGGATGCTCGGCACTCTGCCCGATCGAGTCTTGGGATCGAAGCTGCGGCTTGAGGGCGAAAGGTGGGTAGTGGGACAAGAGTGCGGATTGCGCACAGCTCCTTCTGTGAACGTTTTGCATCAACAGCGTTGCTGCGAGTGTGTTCGACAACAGTAATTCCTAATAGTCTCTCAACCTGGTGCAGTCCAGACTTTTTGCGGCAGTGCTTCTGCACTCGCACAATCAATCTGTACATAATCAATGCATGCCCCCAACACTACCCGAAGCTGCAAGAGGTCACTGATCATTGACAGACAAACACTTATCTTCGGCAATCACTGGCATCCTCATAGTCATTGTAACAAGCAGGCCTCAACAGCGACTCTAGCCTCTGCCTTCCAGATTGTTTGGGACATACCATGCGTGTAGCCATCTTTGGCCACGCCAGTAGGCAGTGCAGGCAGCAGCCGCCTGTACACAGAGGTCACAGCCGGACTGGCTGTTCCAGATCCTCAGCCACGCACCGAGCCTCGAGGATCCCCGCCGACAGCTGACTGCAGTCTGCACTGTATCGTCCGCTGTTGAACTTGAAGATGCTGTAGCTCTGATGGAGCTTCGATGGAGCTTCGCTGGCTCCAAATCTTTTGCTCTTCGGCTCTAACTTGCCAACGCAGCCGCCAGCGAACGATAAACTGCGAGGGCATGCCGAAGTTCCAAGGACTCCGGGAAGCAGTCGGGAGGAGGCTCGCCTTACAACGGTTTGCGAGGTATGATGAGATACTGAGATACTCTCCGAATCCCGCAGGTCATCATGGCCTGGGCTGAGCGCCGCACCTGCAGCGAACTCCAAGAACTCCTTCAACGAGGAGCCTGTCACTCCACGGGAAAGGGACAATTCAATCGAAAAGATGTCTTTGAGAGCTCAAGCTACGGAATCTCGGCTTGCAGTGCACTTCCCACCTGCTGGCCAGCGGTCGACAATAAGCCTTGGCAGAGAGGTGCATGGGATTTCTCTCCCGCAGCGCGAGATCCCAGTTTTTTCCCAGGTGCTGCTCCGCAAGGAGGTCATGCAACACCTTGCAGAAGACAAGAAGGGCGGGGCTCTGCTGCTCTGCTGCTCTGCTCACTCCCTGCTTCTCCCGGAGCGCACCGGCCGCCACTCCGCCAACTCCGTCGCAGATGCGGCAAGGACGGAGGCTGCTGCTGGCTCCAGAGGCTCCTGGCTGAGTGTGTTTTCATGTTGAGACTCAATTGCACCGCGAGACAAGAAAAGAGCGTGCTTCTGCGGTCGCCTCACTCCCTCTAGGAATAGTTGAAAGCTTGGAGCACTCGGTCCAGAATAGCCCGATGTGCGAGCTCCTCCCTGCTTTCGAAGCCATTGCCAAACACTTACCGGGGGTTGGGCTGGGTTTAGCCCAATTTGTCTCGGCTGCTGCTTCATGAGCTTCGGGGAGTGCACATCACACAGTTCAGGATATTGGACGAGAGAGACAGCGCCGCAGCAGGGCAGCGGAGGGCAGCATGTTGCGGCGCATCACGTAGATGGCTGCTACAGATCGAACCATCCATCGATGGTCGTGACAGCGGCTTGGGAGTTGCTGTGGTGGAATAATATTGCTGCAACAGGGTCCACCAATTGGGGCTCGTGCGTTTTGCAGGCATGAAGCGAGAACGTCCTGTTCCTGCCTCCTGGTGGTGTTCTGCAGGCTTCGTTGCATCACCCTGTGCCAACTTGCTCTTGGCTCTGTCTGACCCCAAAACAAATCGGAAGCAACCACGTGCCAGGAGGTTTTCGCACGCCCGCGCCGCGTGCCCAGGAAGGTGCGTGCAAAGGCGACACTTCCGCATTTTACAGAATGCTTCAGCCGTCTTCGTTGGCAGCAGAACTTAAGTACTCCCTGCCACCCCCCTGCTCGTTACAAATACATACTCCTCTGTTGACCGGTCTTCACACACACTCACACACTCAAACAGATAGCTCGCTAGCTAGACAGATAGATAGATAGATCGTTCGATCGATAGATAGATAGATTGACAGATAGACAGATAG